AAGCTACCAAAATCTCCGAGATTTTAGAGCCGGGAGAGAGGTGCTCGCGGTACTAAAACTTCTAAGATTTTAGTAGCACGAGACAAGCATGCAAGAGCTTTCACGAAGAGATGCCGCAAACGACCGCATTCCAGGGGGGCCAGGGTGCGCACAAAAACATGGACGCAAGCGGCACGACACCGTTTTATTAGAATATATATACATATATATATATATGTATAGATTTTCTTCTTTAAATCATTCCTGATTTCGTGCCTATAAATATATATATATATATATATGTATATATATATATATATATATATTCTAAAAAAATTATTAGAAATACCACGTCATCTTATAATCGATATAAATTTCTCAATTTATAAAGATATAAAAAATAGTATAGATAAAAATTGTTATTGATATTTATTTTCTAATTATTGAATTCTCAAGAATTATCTGTATCAGCTCATAATAAATAAAATATTCTGAATATACATTCAAGTTTATAGCATACAGTGTTATATTCAGCCTTTGTCAAATCTCGTAATTATCAACCATGATATCATGATCTGTTCTGTTCTAGATATCAATCTAAATCAAGAGATTCGATAGTTCAAAGGCAAATAATTTATAAGATCTAGATATTCATTCTCCCCCCTAATCCAAATAAATATTTTGATATGAAAGCCTCGTGCGTTCGATCTATTCCTTTTGTCTCTTTGAGGTAATTACCAATCTTCTTCTTCAGAAAGTGAGCGGCTCCAGGCTAAGTATGGTGATGGTATCTGTCACGGGTAAATCAGAATGGCATCAAATGTATATGATAATTAAAGCTATTGAGGTTTCGATCCCCATCTTTCAATTACGTGGACCACTGCCGTAAACCCCTAACCCGAAACTCTAACATGGCTCTACTCTGACTCCCTCCAGGTCACCACCAGTGCCGTGAGATTGTCGTCGCTGGCTGCCTCCGAAGAGGTCTTGGGTTGCGGTTACAGCTTGGGTGTCCGGAACGTCTAGAGACAGATCGGCACATGATTTTGGCATGGCAATGACTGCTGTTCATGGATAAACAGCGAAGAAGACGAAGAACCCACACACTTTTCTGAAGCATGATGCGATTTATGGTCATCGGCAAGCACGGCAGGAGTCTGCCGCCACTTGGTTATCAGCTGCATCTCAAAAAATACAAAAACTAAAAACTAAACCGAAAGGCTTCAACGCCCGAACACTAAACCAATTAAGCCCATGCCAAACCCAAACTAAACCTATAAAATCCAAAATGCTAAACACCAAGCCGTCCACCCCGAACCCGTAACAAATGAACAACAGCAAAATTGATTCCGACATGAAGCGCCAATCTGTATACCCAATCACATCGGGACACAAGGTGTTTCGAGTGCGGAGAACCTCCAGTAACAAGCAGAAACGCAGAACAACGGCAAACGACATTCAAAACAAGAAAACTCACCCAAACACAACGTGCACACTCACAGACACAATAAGAACATCTAGCCCAACCATTCTGCACAACAATCCAAAACATGCCAAGCATTGAAACGATCATGACCACACAACACAAAAACGAAACTCGACATCCGTAAAGACAGAGAAGAAACAACCACTATAGCAAACAACGTCTCTGATATCGGACAATCAGGAAAAGCCAAGCCGAATCGAAAGCAGTTCTGCTGGATTGCCGTTTCGGTTTCTGCTCTTCTCGAGGGCTCTGTGAAGGCATCGTAGCAACCAACAACATCAACCGGCGGCTTCTACCGAATCAAACCGAATGAAGCGGGTTTAGGGTTTAGGGTTTACGGTTTCGGGCTTAGGGTTACGATTTCGAAGGATGTCACAGAGTGGCATCATCTAAACCCTAAACCCTAAACCCTAAACCCTAAACCCATCATCAGCCTACCGTCCAACCACCCAAGAAAGGACGCTGAATGCACCGAAGACCTGGAACCCTCAAGTCATCAAGTAAGGGGTTTAGGGTTTAGGGTTTAGGGTTTAGGGTTTAGGGTTTAGGGTTTAGGGTTTAGGGTTTAGCCCAAGGTCTCTGGTGCCAGATCCTAAACCCTGAAGCCTAAACCACAAACCCTGAACCCGAAACTCCGACTCCGAAATCCTATGGACCCTAAACCCAAATCCCTAAACTCCGACTCCGAAATCCTATGGACCCTAGACCCAAATCCCCAGACTCAAAATCCGATATCCAAAGGAACTTGCGGACATCGGCTGCAAGTTCGGCAAAGGGGCAGCAAAGGAACGCTTCACCAGAGCCATCGCAGCATCTTGTGCCCCGGCCTGGTAGTTCCGGTTTAGGGTTTAGGGTTTAGGGTTTAGGGTTTAGGGTTTAGGGTTTAGGGTTTAGGGTTCACCCCTAAGCAGAATGTAAGGCTTAAGGGTCTAGGATTCAGGGTTCTAAGTTCTAAGCTCTGAAGCCGGAAAGACGGAATTGTAGAGTTTAGGGTTGAGGATTCCAGTTGCAAGGATTTTGGGAGGAAGGCAGGCGAATTCAAAAAGGACTTTCCCCTGCAGCCACGACGTTTTCCGCATCAGTCCATCCTGAAGTAGGGCTTTAATTGCAATCCTTTAGTCCTTTGAGAGTATACTTCCACGTCCCCAGTCCCGTGAGCCAGTCTTGGCGCACCCCTTCCCTTGAATGATGTGAATACTCATGACCTCTCAAAGCTGCGCCTGGCTCGAGCACACTGCCACGGCATCCTCGTCTTGCAGAACATCCCAGACACCTGTCTGGACTGTTTGGGGCCTCGGGCTTCGAGGTCAAACCCCTAAACCTCTTTCAGGTAGAGGTTAAGGGTTAAGGCTTCAGACTTAACGCCCTAAGCCTTTCTGGGTGGGGATGGGGGTTTCAGGGTGATTTGGAGGCTGTGCGGTCTGGTTCTGGGTTCAGGATTCAAATCCCAGGGCTCAAGATTCGAGGATTCCTGAGCATTCCTACCTACATGGTTTTCTGTTTAGGGCTTAGGGTCTAAATGAAGGGCCCGGCACAGAAAAAACGCAGATGCCGCACACAGGAAACCGTTGCTACTGCTGCAATAAAGACGAATCTTGAGACTATGCCAGGCTCCTGACAGACCAAACGCAGGCAACCGTGGGCACGAGGCTGAGGGGCCCACCATCGCAGGCGAGGATGAGGAACCGGTCCTCTCGACTATTCAGACATGGGGTCTTGCGCCTTCGGCTAACGGTATACTTTCGTACGAGTCTATGTAAGATGATAATATAATCCAGCATAGGTTTATGGGTTCAGGGTTTGGGGTATAATGCAGTCCTTCCGCCCAATCCCCGAATCAATCCTCGACTCTCCAGCCCCCAACACCTAAATCCAACTCTCTAAACCCTAAACCCTAAACCGTTACTCTCTTACCCCCCTCGACACCTCGACCCCAAACCAGGCTCTGGGGCTTAGGCTCTAGAGTTTTAGGGTTTTGGGGGTCGGGGTTTTAGGGTCTAAGGATCTAGGGTTCAGGGTGGTCTAGGGTTCAGGGTTTATGGTTTGCGGTCGGGGTTTAGGGTTTAAGGGTCTAGGGTCTAGGGTTTAGGCTTTGGGGTTTGGGGCATCTAAACCCTAAGCCAGATAAACTGATCAAGAACGATCTGTGTCAGTGTCTGCACTTTTCTCCCGCTAGGGCTGAACCTTTTCGATCATGCTCCCAGCAGCGCCAGGAATTTTTCGCAGATGAACTGAGGTTCGCGACGGCTCTGTGTGGGCATGATATATAGGCGCCTTAATAATTAGAACAGGGTGTTTGGGCCCATTGTACTATAATCATGAGAAGGAACTCCCAGAATAGTATTGACATTTTTTTAGGCTCTATTAAGGTTAGGGAATTTGGGTTTTAGGTCTTAGCGTTTTGGGATCATGGGCTCTGCTTTGCCGCGTGCCGAAACAGGCTTTGGGAAGAGTGATTTTACGCGCCTTCGATAAGGTCTACGCGTATGTTTTCGATGATTTAGGGAAGAAGGCGGATCTCCAGGTCTTGAGACCACGGTTTAGAGGTTTAGGGTTTAGGGTTTAGGGCGCAAAGACCTCAGAATGCAGGCCCTTGATAGGGCTGTACCAGGCGCAGATTTGGCTTGGAGTATCCACATGCAGGTCAAGCGACCAATCAACCTCCTGAGTCGGTTTCAACAGGAGGTGCAGTCTGGCTTCTGCGCGGGTTTAGGGTTTGAGGTACCGGGTAAGGCTTTAGAGTGAATCTTTAGGGTGGCAGAAGAACTTCATTGACTAATTAGAGCGCCTTCCGTTCAGAACAACATCCATGCTAATCGCAACCTGCAAGCCCAAACACCAACAGCACCAAAGCATACTGGCCCCTAAACCCTAAACCGGTAAAGCCAAGTTTAACCCAAAGAGCACCCCAACCGTCTCATCCTGCCACCCCAAAACTCGACTTGAGTCGTGGTACGGCTGGCTATTTGGGGTACCACAAGAACCTGCAAACATATCGGACCTGAATGTTTTGAAAATGAAAACAACTATATAACATTGCAGGGTTAAAATGTAAAAGAAAGAAAACCAGGTATGATTACTAATTTTCTGACCCAGTGTAGCATTGTGGCTCCGTCTTTCGGGTCACATATGAAGTAAGGTCCACTCGGCCACTGGGATCCCTCCCCATAAGGACACCCCACATATACCCGCTCACCAGCCGGCCCTTATGATATGCAAACCCTGCCTTGCAACGGCAGATTCCTTAAATGAGGGTTCCCTCGAGAACCATGTGCCCCTTGGGGCACAAACATACCTATAGTCTCCATTGTAGTTTCCTTCCGGGGTACCTTATAGGATCCTAAATATGAAAACGGTCAAACCGAGAGAAGGAACCACAATGGACGCTGTTTGATCCAGTGAACTACCTTTTCGCGAAACGATATACAGCAAACCTGGATCATCGAGCGCTCCTGCCGCTGGTAATGGAGGTATGCATGAGTGAGGGGTTTGGGGGTGTACAGCTTGTGAATTTGCACAGGATTTCGCCAGACTGCTAGACTACAAAGAGCTTTGAGTGAAAAGCATCGATTCCACCGCCTCCTTTGGCTGTACTCAGGTAGTGGAGTGCAGTGCCTGGGCCCACGGCTTCTTGAATAAAATCTCGTTAGGGCTTCGGCCTAAAGTAAAACAGTGAAGGCAGAGACGGTGGGTGCAAGCGCATTTCCTAAATTGACCGCAGCGCAGGAGACCTAAATGCCAAGATCTTTTTTTGGGAATTGGTTTTGGAAGTGGTTGAACAGACACAGGTCTGCTGATTCATTCTTGGGGCTTGGGGCCGATAGCTTGGCATCACGTGCTAGCGCAGCATCTAAACTGCCAAACGCTCTCGTCAATCAACCAATCAACCGAAACTCCCGAATCGTCATCCCGAACCCCAACCTTAACCCAAATAACTTACCTCAATGACTTATAAAGACATCATAAAAACCTACCTCTTTAAGGACTTGTACAAAGACATCATAGTAAGGAACCCTAAAAAAGTAGGTAGCTTCTTTAGGGTTCAGGAAAACCCCGGAGTCGAATCAATTCGACGACACTGGCCTGGGGTTCCGCGCCCCTCAACTCCTCATTATCATGCAGGCCTGCTCCCTTAAGACAGAGTAGAATCAGGGCCCCCGCCGCAAAACCCTTACAGTCGGATCTACCTTCGGCTTTCAGTCTAGAGCCCTCTCTGCTAAGAGTTGTGAATGCAGGCTCTAGCTTACCATCATCTCCCCTAGCACTGAAACCCTTGAAACCCTAAACCCTCAACCCTAAACAGTCTGAAACCAAGATGCGTATTCTGCTTTGCAGAAGCTCTGCTTTCTCCGCCTGTAGCTTGAAGCTTTCGTGGAGGTGTTCGAACCTCACGGCTGCTGAGCCCTACACCCTCCACCATTACACCCTGGACACAACAATCAAGCTCGTGGTTAAGGGTTTAGGGTTTAGGGTTAAGGGTTTAGGGTTTAGGGTTAAGGCTTTAGGGTTTAGGGTTTAGGGTTCCGTGACAAACCCAAACCCTAAACCCTGCTGGAACTGCTATAGTAAGAATTATAAAGTGACCTGTATCATTGCGCCGAGGCCGCTGTTCATCGAAGCCCGGACCTTGCTGACTTCGCGCCACTGGTTGTTCTCTGTCACCGGAAGGCGCTTCCAGCAACGTGTTTTTAGCAGCATCCTTTGATTTGAGCAGGGCAGTTTTGCTTTGAACACAGTTTCTCCTAAGCCTCGTTCGCCGAAGCTGCTGGTTAATGTCTTGCTTGGAACCATCACCGCCAACACCTGTCAATGATACCCTAAACCCTGTACCCAACCAGAGCAAGAGAGACAACCGGTGAGGATCCGAGCATCAACCAAAAGAGGAACACCCCAAACAACCCTAAACCCTAAACCCCAAACCCCGAACTGCCCAAGCACCCTCAAACACCTGCAGGTTGGCGTTTGGCAACTACCCATAGGCCCCATAGTAGTTCCTTGTAGGGATTACCTTATAGGATTCTAATTCTGAACCCCAAGGGAACTACTATGGGACCTCTGGGTAGGAGCCCAAAACCCGGTTCCACGTGATATAAGGAATTTTTCTTTGCTCAAGGTTTCGAAGTTTCGAACAATCCAGTAGAAACCCCAGGCCACATCCAACCGCGACCTGCAAACAAGAGTCGTTTAGCTCCGGGCCATGGTCTGCCCAGTCTTCAGTCACATCTGCAGAAATCGAGGAGGTGTCCAGCTCCGCGGCTATCGTCTCCTAAGAGCCCAGGCGATTTCAAGTTAGGGTTCCCTATGCCTGAGGACCCCCGAAAAAGTGGGACCCCTGATCACTCGGCCACTGTCACACTTAGTACTTCTGACCCCAAGATCCCTAAACCTCCAAACACAAAATCCTGCACCTCCAACCCCGCAGAAGGGTCAGAAACCCGAAATGCTCTGCACCACTTGCGAAGAAAAGCTTTGAGCACATGACACCCTGCAGCATGCTGACGCATGTTATGAAGACTTCCAAGCCGTGCCCAAACACGAACACGCTTAAATGGCAAAGCCCGGCCGCTACAACCCGAGACCGACTGAGAAAGCTCCTGAAAGACTTTATAACCCCCTGACGAACAACGTATAGGACCCAAACAACCCCAAGTAGCATGTAGATAACGGTAAAGCACAATGAAAGCAACACGCCGGAAAACCAAAGAAAAAAATCGCCTCAAAAGTCTAGTCTAGGAACACGTGACCTGAATACAACCTACGAGCGTTCCGATGCCCCCAAAAACCTCCCACATCAGCCCATGAAAAACCCATCCACAACCCTAGTCCCTCGCCCCGAAACCCTAAACCCCTAACCCTAAAACCCTAAACCCCTAAACCCCCAACCCTAAAACCCTAAAACCCTAAACCCCTAAACCCCTAAACCCTACAACCGGGAAGCTGGCAAAAATCACTGTACAAAGCTTTAAAAGCCGTATAAACCGCTGCGAAAGAGTCATACATGTATCCAATGTATCCCCCAAAAAAGAACTACCTTTTCAGAGCCCCGAACCCTAAAACTAAGTGTTTTAAATGTAAATACGGAAACCCCAAAACCCCAAACCTTCAGAGTTTATGGGGTTTAGGGTTCACCCCCAACCCCTAAACCCTAAACCCTAAACCCTAAACCCTAAACCCTAAACCCTAAACCCCAACCCCCCCCCTTTAAGAGCGGCTCGAGAGGCCGCCTTGACCAGGAGGGGCTCTAGCTCCGCCTCGATCCGCTTCAAGGTGTTCCAGGGCACCGGCGCCCTGCTTCAGGGTTTAGAGTTTAGGTTTTGGGGTTTAGGGTTTGGGGTTTAGGGTTTAGGTTTTAGGGTTTAGGGGTTTCAGATTTTATGAAGGGTTTAGAGGTTTAAGGTAGTAAGGGTTACTAGAGATTGTTACGGGGTTTGGGAGCGCTAGGTTCAACCGAAAGTTTCGACCGAAAGCTTTGACCGAGTTGTTCTTGCGGAACCTGATGTTGAATTTGGGGCTGGGGACGGCTGGGGGCGAGGCTGGAAGAGCTTTGGAACTTGATTTTGACTGGGGCTGGGGAAGGCTGGTGGTTTTGGGAGCTGGGGCTGTTAGATTTTTTGTTTATCGGTAGCGATCGCATGCGCAAGCCTAAACCCTGAACCCTAAACCTTAGTGTCCAGGTCGACGCGTGCGAAGGCAGTGTCCCTGTGTGGTGTTATGGCCTTCTGGCCCTCAGGGTAGTAGGGTTTCGTGGGTTCAGGGTTTAGGGTTTGGGGTTTATATTTAGGGTTTAGGGAGTAGGGTTTTGGGGGTGTGCAATTTCGGATATTCCGGGCGTGGGATTTAGTGTTTTGGAGTTTGGGTGTCGGTGGTTGCGCTTTAGGGTTGGCTGCCAAGACCCTCCGTACACCCGTTTCGGTCCAAGAGGAATTCGAAAACCCTCCAAGACCACCCTAAACCCTAAAGCCCGAACCCTGCAAACTCGAAAAATTCAGCATCAAGCTTCCGAACACGGTTAAGGGTTTCGATTTCTTGAGGCCGCAGGCGCTCCTGAGAAGCCTTCCATCCAGCTCCTGTTTGCACCGCTATCCATCGTGTCTTACTTGTCCGTGGGGATCTAAAGGTTTATACACCAAAACGGTTAAAGGTTACCTACTCTACAGCCCTAAACCCTAAACTTGTGTATGAGGGGTTTCGGGTTTAGGGTTATGCAGACTCAACGGGAAGAGTGTGGGGGTTCCAGAGCGTCTACAGGAGCTGATTCTACTCCTCTTAGAAGGCAGACATAAAACTCCTCCTTTTCGGAAACGCATGTTCAACAGAGTGCCCCGGGCTCCCATGTGCCTTAGAAGTGCCTCCGGCGCCTGACCTGGCTGTGAGTGGTAAGCTGTCGACAAGGGGCGATGGATTTGGGCATTTGTGTCTGCAAGTTCCTCAAACTAAACTTAACCCCTCAGCGCCAACGTTTGAGTTTTGGATCTCCCAGCCAGGACGGCCTAAAGTATAAGCGCCTAACCCCTAAGCCTTAACAGTGCTGTCAATAAGGGGTCCGATAGTTTGGCATTGTCCATAGCACAAATACCTGCTACAGTGCATGGTCGACCACGGTTGACTAACCATTCACCTTTCTACCTGTCTACCCACCTACCACCTACCTACCTACCTACCTACCTACCTACCTACCTACCTACCTACCTACCTACCTACCTACCTACCTACCTACTGTCTGTCTGTCTGTCTGTCTGTCTGTCTGTCTGTCTGTCTGTCTGTCTGTCTGTCTGTCTGTCCATCTGTCTGTATAGACATACATACATACATACATACATACATACATACAGACATACATACATACATACATACATACATACATACATACACACATACACACATGCACACATACACACATACATACATACATACATACATACATACATACATGCATACATGCACACATGCATACATGCATACAAACATACGTGTATATATGTATGTATGTATGTATGCATG